AATTTTGATAATACTCGAGTATATCATGGCAATACTGCACGAGTAATGCCGAGCAAGATCTCTCCAATAGATCATGCTCTACGAATATCTCATGGTTTGCTGAGCTTATCGACCAAGCCCATGCTGACTCGATTCACAAAGTTAACCAACGAGTTTGGGCGTCCCCCAAATACAATACCAATATTAATATAAGTCAATGAGCAACGCTCGAATCGACGATTCCAAATACGAATCACATATACAAACCACAAATACGAATCACATCCACATTAATATGTACAAGCCGGATATGAATTCACATAGCAAAATACGTATATGATTTCACTCGAAAGAGAACGAGTGCAGTAAACTACACACTCATCTCAAAAATTTCAAATTTCATATAACGGATAAGAAACAGTTAACCACTTAGCAACAAATTCATGCACTTGACACTCACCAATCAAAGTAAGAGAGTGAGTGCGTAAACAAGCCTTTAGGTGTTCCCCTTTGAGATCCTCGTGAAGGTCTCCTTGAGCACCTGAGCAAACAATAGTTATCTATTACACACTTTGTCTTAAAAATCCTTTCTTATCAAGAGAAGAATTGTACACTTGTACAATCTAGAAAATACCATGGAATGGGACTTTACTTGCACAAAATTCAAGGTTCAAAAGTAGTGCTTATTAACACATGGAAAAACAGATTCTTTCATGAAGACAAGTCCAAAATGGTCAATTAGTATTGAAGGATAGGGAAGAGTTTCAAAAACTCAATTCCCGTCAAGTTTGAAAATCTCAAATTTGAGGTTCAATCTTTGAAAAATCGTCTCTCACTCTTCGTATGTCCAAAATTGGAAAACTTGGTACTGTTGGAAACTACTTTCAAAGTGCTAAAAGTTCCTAGAAGACATTTTTCCATGATTCCAAATGGAAGACATTCAAAATTTGCCCCAAAGTTACTGTTTTAGACTTGCGAGACAATTTCGGGGTTGGTTTTTGGCCAACTTTGGAAATTCGGCAAAATTCATACAATGCAAACTGGCCTCTGAAATTTGGAATTCAATTAGAGTTACAATCAAGGTTAAAAACACAACAAGCAAAACAAGAATCAGAGTTTTGAACACCAAGATATGGTGGCTCAAATTTACCAAAAAAGTGAGACCGTTAGGCCAATTTTCCAGATTTAAATCACGGACTTTGGGACTTTGTTTGAGCATCGAAATGGACTCAGAATGGCACCAAATTTAGTAGTATTATCCTACCATATAAGGGATATTCCTTTGTCAAATTTCATAGGAAAAGTCTTTCAGGAAGTTGGTTAACAAAACCATCAAAGTTTCCAAATCTCCAAGGCAAAGCTGCCTTGCACCTCTAGTTTTCTTTTCTCAAACCTTTGGCCAATGAAAACATCCCAAATATGGTTCATTTGTGTAGAAAATGTCTAAGAAACATCCAAGACACATTTGGTAGATGATTTACACCAAGAATTTCGAATAACAAGTCCCAAGTCAAGATTGGTTACAAATCAGTCCAAAAGTAGGGTTTTCTTTCACAAAGTCAGTTTTGAAATCCGGCCACAACTCACTCAATTCAACTCAGAATTGAGCGTGGTTGGTAGTGTTGAAAACTACATTCATAAACTACAACTTCTCAGAAAAAATCGTTTTAAAAATCTGTCCACAACTAGCTCATATTTGAGCTCTGCTCAAAACAGAGCTTCCAGTATGGACGCGAAACAGAACAGGTAATTTTACAAGGTTGGTACAGATTACTTAGGTGGAATTAGGACGAGAATTTATACCGTTGGAAATCTGGGAATTTCTAGTTTCCATTTCCGCAAACGACACTCGATTTCAACATCAAAGAAAAAAGTTATATCTGTTTGAAAAACACTGCCAGAGCAAAACGGGAAAAATTCTAGTTTTGATGAACTTCCGAAATCACAACAGTTGGCCAACCAAATCAAGTAATTTTTTGTGGAAACCTTCCACACAGCCCACACAACATATATACATCATAAATAATTCAATTGGACCACAAAAAGGTGCACCAATGTGCACGGACATAGCAAGGGCAGAAACGGAAAAATTCCCTCTTCACTTCCCTTGAACTTTCTTCCACAATACAACCTATTTCCACTAGATTAAATACTAATTCAACATTAATAACATCAAGACTCTCAAATCAGTCCATCAAGCCATAGTGGGAGTTCATAGAGCCCACACACCAATTTACAACATAAATAAAGCTACCCACATGATTATATAAGCTTATAAGTGCAATATATCTTCTATAAACCAAGATTTTGGTAGTTGATCGTTGTTTACCTTCCTTGATGAACAAAGCAGAAAATTTTGGCCTCTTGAAGCTAAAAAAAAACCGTGAGATGAAGCTCTTTTCCTAGCTTGAGGTGATCTCCAAGTGATTAGCAAGGTGTATGTAAATTTTGAGGTGATTTGGTGAAGATTTGGTGATGGAATGAAGAAAAATTTTGGTAGATTTCTCCTCCTTGTTGTTCGACCAGCAAGAGCAAGAGAGAGTGTGTTGTGTGCTGATGAGAAAGCTTCTTGAGGAAGCTTAAGTGTGTGGTTAAGGTTGCTCAAAAGTCAACTCTCTTCCCGCGGGCACACACGCGTTTCGTGCTCGATCCTCTCGAGTTTATTTCACTTGTGCACTAAATCTCTAATGAATTTTTATTCATACTATTATTATTCATTCGTAATAGTTCCAAAATAAAGGTTTTAAGTCTCTCAATTAATCGCGTGTGCAAAAACGCGTACTTCCGATTTGTGCGTGATAAAGTGGAATTTTCAAGAAATTCTTATAATGATAGCATCACTAACTAATACTTGAGTACTTAGACATAAAAATACCTATTTCAAGACTAATGTACTAGTCTCCAATTCTTCGAGTTTATTGTGTCCTCGATTCGATTATTGTCTCCAAACGCGTATTTGCTATTCTCACTTAACGAGCTTCCAAAAATTAAATTTTGAAACGAGTCACTTTAAAAATACATGTGAGTTATTATTCTATGTAATTGAGTAATAAAAGGTCAAAATAAAATATTCTGAGTAAATGGCCAAATAAATAATTAAATAAGCTAGAAATAGGAAATTTAAATAAATAAATTTTTGCGAGTCCTCACAGATTGGGATTGTGATCTTCTTGTAAACACATTGCCACCGAATAGAGTGGCAGAGGTTTATCTACAAGTTGGAACTGATGATAATCCAGTGAGGCTTCAAACTCAAAAAACAGAGGATGGAGACATGCCTGAAGGCCACAACACTTCTGCCAAGCAGGCTACAAAAGAGAAAGAAACATCTGAAATGGACAGTGACATAGCAATACTGGAAGAAGTTGACTTCAACGATATGGACAATAGAAGGAAAAATGTGGTTGATGGCAACAGTAATGAAGTTGCTGCAAACAGTCATGAGAATTTTGATTCCAAAAGTCCTAATTTGCAACAAGAGAAGGACAACAAGGGAGATAATGCAGGGGAAGAGTCACAAATGGCAACTGATAATGATATATAGGTTGATGAGACTGATGTGCAGGCTGATAATAATGTGCAGGCTAATAATGATGTGCAGGCTGATGACAAGTTCGATGATCCAGATTATGCGGGGCAAGTTGAGGAGGATGTTTTATTTGATGAAGCCTTGAAGATTGGACAACAGTTTGGTGTGCATAAAGGAGCTCCTGAAGTTGGACCTTCTACCAGTAAAGACACAAGAAAGAAGAGAGCAGGTAGGAAAAGAGAAGCTATTGACGAAGTAAATGTTTGTGATGAGCCTGACATGGTTAATGTGAAGGATATGCAGTCAGAATATGAAACAGATTGTTCTAGAGAGTTGAAGAGTGAGAGTGAATCCAAAGATGAAGATGGTCGTAAGAGGAATAAGAAGCCTAAATTTTCAGTTTTTAATAAGAAAACTGAAATGAGAAGTCCAAGATTTAAGGTAGGCCAGAGGTTTTCATCAGTTGTTATTTTTAGTTTGGCTGTTAGAATCCAAGCTGTTATGGAGGGAAGGGATGTCCAGTTCATAAAAAATGACACATATAGCTACGGGTGAAATGCAGAGGCTGTGACTGGCAAATTTTTGGCTCAAAAATGCAAGGTGAAAACACTTTCCAGATCAAGACACTTAGCAAGGAGCACACATGTGGACGTGTCTTCCATAATAGAAACATGACATCAAAACTAGCCATCAGGTTGTTTGTAGATGAGGTGAGAAAAACACCATCCATGACAGTCCAAGAGCTCATGACTAGGGTGACTGAAGAATTAAATGTAGATTTCAGTCTTAAACAAGGCTATATGACAATGAAAAAAGTAAGAGACATGATTGAAGGCAGTCATGAAAAACAGTATGCATTGTTAGAGGACTTCTATGGTGAATTGAGGAGAGCAAATCCTGGATCGACAGTGTTCGTTGAGACTGATACGGATGAGGATGGGATTGTCAGATTCAAAATGCTTTACATGTGCTTAGAGCCATTGAAGAGAGGGTTTCTAAAGGGCTGTAGGCATTGGATTGGGTTGGATGAGTGCTTCTTAAAGGATACATATGGTGGACAACTACTTACAGCCGTGGGCATGGATGGGGATAACAAAATGTTTCCACTTGCTTTGTCAGTTGTTAGAGTGGAAAATTATGACAATTGGAGTTGGTTTTTGGGATTGCTTGTACAAGATTTGGAAATTTCAGATTCTAGTAATTGGTGTGTCATGACTGACAAGCAAAAGGTATGATAAATTGTATTAGCATTTATTTATACAGCAACTTTTTATTTAATAATTCAGGTACAACTTTTTATTTAAGCCAAGTTGTATTCAAACGTGTGCAGGGACTAGTTCAGGCAGTTAGAGACAAAATGCCACAGGCTGAGCACAGGTGTTGTGTGCAACATCTATACACCAATTTCAAACAGATTCATAGAGGCCTGGCCTTAAGAGAAAGACTTTGAAAATGCGCAAAAGCTTCTTATGTTACCTACTGGAAAGTCAAAATGGAACAGTTGGGGCAAGAATCTGCAGCTGCGCATTCTTGGCTTGATGAAAAAGATCCCAAAACTTGGTGTAGAGCCCATTTCAGATGTGGATTGGATTGTGATATTTTGGTGAATAACATGTGTGAGTTCTTTAATGCAGTAGTTTTAAAGACCAGGTCACTACCAATCATATCCATGCTGCAGACCATTTATTTGTACCCGCTGAAAAGGATGGAGAGGAACAGGGAAGCAATGTCCAAGCACGAACGTTAAGAAACATTTTATTTATTTACTAGTTTAAGGTCAGTTGATAACTTCTTTGAGAAATTTATGACCAATTTGTTGTTATCATTTTGTATTCAGGTCTCCTTTTTCCAGCAACATTTGAGATACTCAAGTATCAGATAAGCTGTCCATTTGGGGAACAGTACATTGTTGACATGGCTGCCAAAACCTATTCATGTAGAAAGTGGCAATTAAGGGGAATACCATGTAGCCATGCTGTAGCTGCCATCAACAGGAGACATGAAGCACCAGAGAAGCATGTTTCCAACACCTACTTGAAGATCACATATCTACAAATTTATGAACTTGTACTTAATCCAATCAATGGTCCTAATTTGTGGGAGCACATAGACCTTCCAGCAATAAAGCCTCCGACTTACAAAAGATCTACTGGAAGGCCAAAGAAGATGACAAAAAAGGCTTCAGAAGAAGAAAGACGGGACAGCTGTGTCAATCCAACTAAACCTCACAAGGTTAGAAAGGTTGGCACCATGATGAGCTACAGCCGCTGTAAAAAATACGGACATAACAAAAGAGGATGTCTGGATAAAAATAAGCAAACCACTGAGGGTACAAGTACAAGTTCAGTAAAGGAGAACAGTGATATTAGAGATACAGGTCCATCTATGCAGCCAAGTACTAAAGAGGCTTGTCCAAGTGATGTGACCGTTGACATACTTGGAGTAAGTACGCAACAGAGTCTGTGACAGCCCCACCTTCCCCTAAGGCGAACCAAAAGGGTTAGCGGACTGCCTGCCCAGCTCTCGCCAGGACTAACGGATCAGTTTACGTAGCTCTAATAAGTTCCGGAACAAACCAACATATATACATTGAAATTTAACATTTACAACCAAATGGCATGCCACAAAAACCATTCATCATGAATATACATATTCGGTTTGCCAATCCAAAAGAAAGTGAACCTAATACACATTAGGGTTTTATTCAAAAGCTATTCAAAAGATACATATACAAAAGGTCAATTTGGCAACCGACAAGTATGAACTTTTCCCCAAAAGTGATCATTTTCCTGTAAGGAAAACAAATGGAACGGAGTGAGCTAAAGCTCAGTGAGTTACTACCATAATAGCAGCTAAGATCACATAAGCATAACCGTTCAGTTCAAGTATGCAAATAAGAAGTAAATCAAATCAGTGAAAGGATACGGTTGGCTCTCAAGAGCCCATTTCCCCGCTTATATTCTTGATCCAACATCATTGACCCTCCGTCAATGTTAAGAGTACCAAACCGTGGACCTCACTTTACTTCCATTCCTTCCACCCAACATACCCCAACCGGGCCCGCACTCCAATCAGTAACTTTTGGTAATACTCGAGTATACCGGAATCAAGAGTCTCATTACTACAAGATTCCCCAGTACAGTCCCCGTGGCATGACTATTTTCACAACCAAGCCCTCGCCGACTCGATCCAATTGACTACCAAACGGAGTTGAGCTCAGTGATACAGTAAAGCCGTTGGACATTCGTCCAAACGACACCAAATCAATTTTCCATGAATGGAATTCAGTATCTCATATAACAAGTGCAGTATTTCAGTAAAACAATTAATAGCCATGAATGGAATCACAAGGGGTGAGGGCGGTCAAGTACACCCTCACCTCAATCACTTCCAATAACCAAATAAGCCTTCAAGGCATCAAATTCACATATAACAAAGCCACATTGTAACATTTAAGTGAGTAGTATACTCACCAATCACGTAAGTGATATTTCATGCACCGTGATCAAAAGTGCGTCGTGAACCACCGTCACGCCCTAGAACACGTAAACAAATGCAATGAGACTCGATAACGAGTCATATAGCAATGCCAATCATAACCCCCAATAGGGTTTATATGCATAAATAAGCATCATTGGTAACCAGAAATTAAGAAATGGCTTTAGCTTAAGCCTTAACAAAGAAACCGTATTTGACCTCAATATGCGGTAATGGCACCAAATTCACTACGGTTATCGGATGGGGGTGTAAGACCCACCGTTTCGAAGCTAAGAAACAGGGCTACAACAATGTAGAAGGCCACTCAGTCCAAATCCTAGCACAACTAGGTCAAATATGCAAAATACGAAACCAGAATTACCAAAACAGGTTTGCAAATCACATAATGCTGTAATGAGTCCAACTCAGTCTATACAAGTCCAAATTCATTGATTCCAAAGGCATATGGTAGCTAAACATCCTCTATATTTCATCAGAAGACACCAACATCCAAATCCAAAGTAATTCCAGTCAAAAACCAAATACAAACGCAGTTCTGCCATCCTGATCAACCCAGAACAGCCACAGTAAAATCGACATATCTCACTCTACACTAATCCAAATGACCTGAAATTTTACAGGCACCTCAAACACATCAATACCTACAACTTTCATGTTTTAAGTAAAAGTCCAATTCGGCCTCTAACCCTATGATCCAAAACCGGACAGAATAAGGGGTGATAAAACCCTAACTTTCCACAATTCAATCCAAACCCAAAATTGGTTGCAATTATCACTAATTCACACCTACTAGAGTCATTCCCCCTCATTATCAACCATCATAGATGACCACAACATCACATTCATATTAAACCAGAAAATTCCTCAAAAATATAAAAATTTCACCAAATCACTTCAAATCAAGAAATAAATCACAAATATCATCACTTTAGCCACTACTAAGCATAACTTAAGCATCATTAGGTGTAGGAGTATGTTCAATCATCACTTACCTAGTATACAAGAGAAGAGGAGTTGTAGACCACCTTAGCTCTTCCAAAAACTTCACCAAACTCACCACTAACACCAAATGGAAAGGTTGTATGGAGTAGAAACTAGTTTAGGCAATTGGTTTGGATGATTTGAGCTAGTTGAAAGCTTGAAGTTTGAAGAAGTTTTCTTCCTTCTTGGCAAGAGAGAGGGCTGGCTATGGAGGAGGTAAGAAATGGTAATTTTTGTGCAATTTTTAAGATATTTAACCATTTTGGTCAAAAGTCAAAAACATGAATAGTAAATCATAAAGTATAACCAATAAGAGAGTGACGCTTGTCACCTCTTAAATGCATTCTTATCTTTCTTTTTCCTCTCCCATCAATCAAATCCCACTCTCTACTTATCTCTTAACACCCGATAAATTTCACACAGTATCCGAAACTTAACCTTATTGGCCGAATTTTTCCAAACTTTTCGCACTAGTGGGTCCCACGTCCAATATATATTCTTAATTTTTCAAAAACTCTCCAATACTAGGAAAATCATCTAAAAACTATAACTGCTCATAAAACCCACCAAGAAAATATTCCTAAGCTAGAAAACGCAGAAAACATGCCATTAAAGGGTTTAAACCCTAGGAAAATTACTAGGGAAATACGGGTTCTCACAGAGTCACACAGGTCTATCTCAAAATTTGGATACCAATCAGCCAAAACATGGGGCACAAGAACCAGTGACAAAGAAAGGAAGAAAATGCTCATTCTATCGTAAGCATGGTCACTCAAAGAATAATTGTAAGTTGAGGCAATGGGCCTTTAGCAGCTCACTGGACATGACTGGAGACTAGGGATTCAAAACTGTAAAAATATGGTATGATGATCTAGAAAACCCATATAAGCATGCTCAAAATAGTTCTGAGCATGTGGAAAGAGTCCTACAACAACTCATGTAAGTGGTCTCCATACATCAGGTCTTTATTTGTGGGTGTCATGTCTTATTGATATATGTTATGTGCTTGTTTGTAGTTAAGCTCCAAAGCTGATGGTCGCATACTTTATTCCCACAGCCACGGAGTAACGATGAGAGCACCACACTCATACATGGACTTGGGGACAGCCTCTCATTCCAGCAGTGGACTTAAGCCAGCGCAATTCACATGGCAGGGCAATTTGTATGTTAACCTGTCTACATTACAGACAGCTGTGGGACATGCAAAGGAGTCACCTGGAATTGAAAATGTGCAGCTCCATGGGGATGGAAACCAATTTGTTAAGCTGGGAAAATTGCAGCAACAGGCCAAATAGCCTTCAAGCATGAACTGACTAATGCTGGACAAACCAACTCAAGAATTGTACAAGCATATAGCCTTTTTTGTTTTGCAGATACAATCAAATTGGGCAATAAAAGCCTCTGTTTTGCTAGTCCAGATGTGGCGAACTTTTGTTCAACTCATATAGTCCATTGGAACTAAGAATTTTTTTTGTTAATATGGAATTTTTGTTAGCCTCTGTTTTTGGTAGCCTCTGTTGTGGAACTCATATAGCCTTTGTCTTGCTAGTCCAGATGCATGAAATGCAGAGGCTATTAATGTGAAATTTTTATCATTCCTGGTATTGCTATTGTGTATTGGATGATTTGTTGAATGATCAAAGGCTTTTGCTGAAAATTTTATGTTCTGGTATGACTATTGATTATTATTGTTAATGTGACATAAACTACTTACAGTAAACTTCACAAATTGGGACGCTAAAGTCCCTAAACAACAAATTTTGATTACATAGAAGGTCTAATGTTCACAATTATGGGACATAGCAGGTCCACTATATCCCTAAATTTGATACAGTACATTTAAAACCTACACTTTTAAGGAAAGTGTAAAGATGTTGGTAATTACATAGTCAGCAAAAGCAAGAATTTCCTTCCTGCACCACGCAAAAGGTCCACTACTTAGCAATGACAGACAAAGGTGGTCCCATATCTGAGCAAACAAAATAGCTAGTCCGGCATTAGCGATTGCTTCTTCTACAACTCATTTTGGACTTTCATCCAGATTTGAACAAAAGCAACCACATGACAATGGCAACCCAATGGATAATCAAGTACATCCTTAGCTTCCTCACTTTCGATTGTTGGTACCTTGAATTTTCTTTCAACCTGTCCAACTCAGCTTCCATCTTGTTCATCGACCTTAGCAGTCCAGGTATTATTTCTTTTGACCTTTGACACATCTCAGGATCAACCCAATCCCAGTATATGCAGCCTCCTTGTTCCTAGTTTGACAAGAACATTATGTTTGCAGACAAGATTAGATGGCTACAATTCGTGCAAACCAAAAATAAAAAACAAGTATAAACACAAAACCCTAATTTCCCTTACTCTGTACTTGGCACATCGAAAAAACCTTCTTCCTGGGTTCATGGCAGTCCATGATGTCATCATCAATGTTTGCTTTCCACAATCACAAAATTGCCTCACCATTTCTTTTTGTTTGTTGAACCATGCGTTGGGTTCTTCTTTTCTTCTTCCTGCCTTGTGGATAGCAGAATGACAACTTGGGTCTCTTAGCATACCGACCTGAAGTGCCCTTTTATGATTTGGATCGGGTCTACATTATCCATCTAAAGTGGGTTGCATGGAGGGAAACTTTCCCTCCATATTTCACCACCTTTTTTTTAATCAATTTATGTGATTTTTTGTGAATTTTCATTGTTGCCCTCGGTCAAAGGCTGGTGTTTACCACGTTCTTCGACCACCAACAGCATTCAAGATTCTGTCAACAATTTTCCTTAGCTGGGAGCAATTCATAAGTTTAGGGACTTAAGTGTCCCATTTTGAAGTTTAGGGACTGAAGTGGGTTATCGTCCAAAGTTTGAGGGGACAAAGTGGAATTAACCCAAATAATTATAATGTTAAAGGAAGTACATTAGTGGTTTAGTGCACAAGTGAAACAAACCCAAGAGAAAATGGATACGAAACGCGTGCGCGTGCGCGTGCGC